GGTGGTTTCCTGCACCGCCCTGGCAAGCCGGCGTGGGGGTGCCCTGGCCAGCCCGGGGTCCTTGGCTCCCAGCTCCGGCGTGAGCGGCGAGGCTGCGGTGCTGCAGGGTGCGGCACCAACGCGGCAGGGAGGGGGAGGCTGGGGGGAGCCATTCCAGCGGGATTAGCGCTCCGTAATTGCAGCTGTTGTGAAGGTGTTGGAGTCGCGTGGGGGTGAGGAGACAGGGACCGCTCACGCCTGGGCAAGGTCACGGGCTCGGCAGCCCCTGAGCAGGACATTGCCCAGGCTCGTGGCCACAGTGGCAGCATGTTAGGAGCTAGGGCAGAGGCCTCCTGGGCCACCACATGCAGCCCCCGCGATGGCCGGGGCCCGGCACGTGATCCCTCCCATGCACAGCGCGTCCTCCTCGAACCCAAGCCAGGAGCAGCATGAGGGAGGCTGCTCCAGGGATCAGACATCTCCTCCTGGAGCTCCCAGCCAGGCTTTGTCCGTGGCCGGCGCGTCCCCAGCTCACCCCACCGGCTCCCTCCTCCCGTGGATGGGCTGGTGCCTCCCCTGCGCCCGGCAAACCGCAGCCTCTCGGGGATGTCCACGCAGCGCCGCGCAGGGGAGCCGGGCTGGCTCCCGCGCATGGAGCAGGACAGCGGTAGTCCCCACTGGCCCCCGGGGACCCGCGCCGTGGTCGGTCCCCTCCGCCAGCGCTGGGCCACAGCTCCGGTAAGCCAGGCCCACCCTCCTGGCAGCAAGGGGCACAGGACAGTCCTCCCACAGAGCCAGGGCGCATGGCAAGTGGGGGGACCCGTCCCCTGCACGTGTGTGCCCAAGCCCGGGCACAGCCCAGGAACTAGGCGGCTCCCCTGGCATGGGAACTACCTGCCCCCTCCCCACGGCGAGCTGGTGGCCAGCGAGAGGCTGGGGCCCTGGGACAAGGGCTCTGAGCCGCCACTACTGCCCCCGCCCGAGCCCTGCAGAACAGCAGCCGTCCAGGCCATGCGCAGCTGCCTGTTCTGCATGGTGGGCACGCAGCGAGCTGCCCCAGGCCCCGGGCAGGGTTGGTCTTGGCACATGCAACTGGGCTGTACTGGACCCCGTGGAGCTGACTGCCAGGGCAGCAGTGGGGCCTGGAGCCGGGGGGGAGGTGGGCAGCCCCTTCCCCTTCCCCTGCCCCAGTGATGGGCTCAGCACTGCCTGGCCGTCGGGGCAGGCCCTGGGGCCCACGGGGAGCGCGGTGCTTGCTGTACTGCGGGGCCCAGCACACCGGCTGCACCCCGATGCCGCGCGTCCGGTGGGAGGGCGCTGGCTGGGGCGTTGCCTGTGCCTGCGGGTGCCGTGGGACCGGAGCCCGGGTCTGCAACACCGAGCACCCTCAGCCAAGCCAGGCAGGAGCATCCTGGGAGAGGCCCCTCCCTGCTCCTTATGGCACAGGAGGCAGGTGAGCACCCGCCTGCCAGACAAGCTGGGGCAGGAGGAGGGGGAGAAACCAGCTGCCTGCTGGCGTGGAGCAGCTTCTGGCGTGCCTGGAGCAGGCGTGCGACTTCCCAGACCACCGACACGCAGAGACCCAGCCTGGGGCCAGAGGCAGCCGGACCCGGCATGAGAGACGTCTCCCCCTTCACGGAGGCAGTAAGGAGCCCGGGGCGGCCGACAAACCCGCGCCCTTTGCCCTGGGCAGACCATCCCAGTGTTTGGGGTGTAATCTCCAAAGAGGAGTATACCTCCTCTGCTCGGGCCTGCAGGCGGGCTGTTAGGAAGGCCAAGGCGGAGATAGAGCTCGGATTAGCGTCCAGGATTAAGGATAACAAAAAGTCCTTTTTCAAATATATTGGGAGGATGAAGAAGGCGCCGGGCAATGTGGGGCCCCTGCAGGATATGCTGGGCAATCTGGTGGTTGCGTCAGAGGATAAAGCGGACCTCTTTAACCAATTCTTCACCTCCGTTTTCTTGTGCAGGGAACGGGACTTCCCTGCTGTGATAGAAGCCGGACGCGAGGGGATCGCCTTCAGACCTAAGGTTGAGGAGGACCGGGTTAGAGAGCTTCTGGAGGGGCTGGACGCGTTCAAGTCAGCGGGTCCGGATGCTCTCCACCCCAGGGTGCTGAGGGAGCTGGCTGGGGTTATTGCAGGGCCCCTGGCACGGCTCTACGAGCGATCGTGGTGCTTGGGCCAGGTGCCAGACGATTGGAAGGTAGCTAATGTGGTCCCCATCTTCAAGAAAGGGAAAAGGGAGGACCTGGGCAACTATAGGCCCGTCAGTCTTACCTCAATGCTGGGGAAGCTCTTTGAGAAGATCATCAAGGAGCACATTTGTGATGGGCCGGCATCAGAAATGATGCTCAGGGGCAATCAGCATGGATTTATTAGGGGGAGATCATGTCAGACCAACCTGATTGCCTTTTATGATCAGGTCACAAAGGCCATGGATGCAGGTGTCGCGGTGGATGTAGTCTTTCTGGACTTCAGCAAGGCCTTTGACACCGTCTCTCACCCCATCCTAATTAATAAACTAGGCGACTGTGGCATAGATGCCTACACAGTCAGATGGATTGCAGATTGGCTGAAGGGTCGCACTCAGAGGGTGGTGGTGGATGGATCATATTCGACTTGGGGGGAGGTGGGTAGTGGAGTCCCCCAGGGCTCGGTCCTGGGGCCTGCGCTGTTCAATTTCTTCATCAGCGATCTTGATGTTGGGGTGGAAAGCAACCTGTTTAAATTCGCTGATGACACCAAAATTTGGGGGGAGGTGAGCACGCTAGCAGGGAGAGAGAGATTGCAGAAGGATCTGGATAGGTTACAGGGGTGGGCAGACAGGAACAGGATGCGTTTCAATACGGACAAGTGCAGGGTGCTGCACTTGGGTAGTAGGAACCAGCAGCACACTTATACGATGGGGAACTCCCTACTTGAG